TCCTCATGGTGAATCGCAAATGATTCTGGAAATTCTATTGAGTTCAGTGGGGTGTGGAAAGGACAACGACAATAATTTAGTATTTATATACTGTTCTACATGTTGCTTACACATTTTCTCCCTGAACTTCTGAATGCATATGCATATATGTGTTTGCAAAATGAGGCTAACCAGGATTCTCATGACCACATGGAGCCATTGGTCTACCCAGGTCAATATTGCTTATTATGACTGACAGTGGCTCCCTGGGGTCCTGGGCAGAGATCTTCTTTCACATCACCAGCTAGCTGAGCCTTTTAACTGGTTGTTCAGCATGTACCTGGGGCAGGTAAAATTCCTCACAGACACAGTCAGGCTAGCAAACACCATCAGAGCAATTGGTCCCACACCCACCAGAGCTAAACCGAGGCTGTTTATAGGAGTTAATACCTGCAGCTGTAACAGTGGCCTGGGGCCTGCAGGCACTTAAAGCCTGTCTTAGTATTCAGTGAAGCCTCAAGGTGAATCTTGGTCCTCTATTGCTTTGTGGCCAGAGGACAGACCCTGGAGGGCCAGCCATGCATTCTGCCATTTGAACTGAGTGTCATCATCCCCCCACCTCTGCCAAGCTTTCTGCCTTCTGGGCTCCTGGATTTCTGGGGATGACTGTGGGGTCCCTCTCAACAGCTGGTGGGTTCCTCAGCACTCTCAGTCCCTAAGCCTGGCTTCTGTTCATGGGCCACCTGGGCTTCTGGACCAGCAGCTGTCAGTCTTCCTATCACCTGACAGCCCCTTAGACTCAGAGGGTCCAGGAGCTTTACAATCTGCCAGGGGTTCAACTTTTGTGGGATCAGTGATCATGGCATGCTCATCATCCCCCAAAGAGGACTCATCATCAGCCCCAACCCTGATACTGGTGCTTGAACCTGGGACCTTCTACATGCAAAACAGATGCTCTGTCTCAGAGCCATGGCACTTATTCTGGCCTCAGGCTTCTGCCGGTCTCCCCAAGAGCCAGGACTCACTCTGCAGATGTTCACTGAGCAGGGTCTAGAGCTGGATCTAGCAGGCAAAGGTCATGGCCTTGCGAACCAGTTGATCTAACAAGGCAGTCTTTCTGGGCCCCGGCTTAAGTAGGCAAGGACATAACTGAGTGGGCTGTATTGCCAACAGGTGCTGGAGTTCCTGAGCTCTGCACACCAAACAGGATCCTGCAAGGAATCAACCTCAGTGCACTGGTGTTGAATGCTGCCAGCCTGGCATTTTGTGGCACTTTGGCCTGGGCCTTCTGCCACCAGCATTCCTGCGAACTGGGAGAGGTCCTGGGGGGCTACAGAGCTGGGCTTGAACTCTGCATGAGGGAGGCCTGGTGACTGTCTCAGAGGCTGGTGGTGAGGTTGCCCTCGTAGGGTCTGACAGGGCAGCCTCTGGCACTGAGGAGGCATTGCCCTTAGGTGGCTCTGCAGTGCCAGGCCCTTCCTGATCTCTTGGTCCTCCTCAGTCACTGACCTGGGCTCCTGGGCTCCTCCCTTAGGGATTCCAAGTCCAAGTCACTGAGTGGACTGGAGGGGGTCATGACAACCCCTCCCCCAGAGACCGAATGATCCTGTGTTCCACAAAACATACGTTGTAAAGAACCAGTTGTTGACTAGGTTAGCCTTCTTTCTTGACCCCATTTTCTCTGTTTTGCACACAGAAAAAACAACCTTCATCCCTCCAGATAACTTCAAAGTCACCATCCCTGTACGGAACAACTATATGTATGCCCGGATAAAGAAGAGCCTGCCTGAACTTTATGCCTTCACAGTCTGTGTGTGGCTGAAAGCCAGGGGTCCAGCAGGGGTGGGCACCCCTTTCTCTTACTCAGTCCCCAGTCAATCCAATGAGCTTGTATTGTTAGAGTGGGGAACTAATCCCATGGAACTGATAATTAATGACAAGGTAAGGACGGGTGAGATCTTGGCATGGATAACTAGAGTGCCAGTTTGGTGTAGTGCAGGAGTGGCCAAACTGCAGTTCGGGAGCTGCATGTGGCTCTTTCACATAGTCTAATCTAATGTTAATAAAAAGAAAATTTGCATATTTTCCAATAAAAACGTGTGTGTAATATTTGTTCCGGTCTTGCGGCTCTCAAACATCTGACCTTTATTCTGTGTGGCTGTTATGTTAAGCAAGTTAGGCCACCCCTGGTAGTGGTTAGGAGTGTGGACTCTAATCTTGGAGAACTGGGTTTGATTTCCCACTCCTCCACATGCAGCTGCTGGTGTGGCTTTGGGTCAGTTACAAGTTCTTTCAGAGCTGTTCGCGAGAAGTTCCCAAAAGAACTCTCTCAGCCCCACCTGCCTCACAGGATGTCTGTTGTGGAGAGGGGAAGGAGATTGTAAGCTGCTCTGAGACTCCTTTGGGTAATGAAGGGTGGGGTATAAATCTCCTCCTCCTCCTTCATATTAACCTGCCATTTGACTTGACTAAGTCTCATCCCACTGGCAAAATTATTTAGTCAGTTAAGAAATAAGGCTCTGTCAGAATCAAATATTTTTCTCAGACTTTATCTTAGTTTTAAAGCAGCAGATAAATACAAAATAGAAGACACAAGATTACCCAATGCCAGAACCAGTTACAATAACAATAATATGTACATAAGTGCCGTTAAATCGCACCCAACTATGGAGACCCCAGCAAGGGACTTTCAAGGCAAGTGAGAAGCAAAGGTGATTTGCCATTGCCTTTCTCTGCAGAGCCTTTCTGGGTGGTCTCCCATCTAAGTACCAACCCACTTAGCTTCTGAAATCTGACAAGATCAGGCTATAACATGCTATCTTTCTTCCAATAACATCTCTCTATATAATAATTCTGTTTTGGTCATGGACTCTCCAGAACATTTCACACGCTCCCAAATCAGTTGGCTCCCTAATCTGTCACACACCTATCTGGCTGTGTTGCCCGAGTCTCGCCTCCAGTATTCTAAACAGTTTGCTGTTCCTCTCCCCCCAATAGCCAGTCGGAACACAGAGGTCATTTGCATATGCAGCCTGATTGGCCTTTGCGTCTAACATTCTAAACAGTTTGCTGTTGCTGTTGGGAGTTTTTGAATGTGTCCTGAGGTAAAATACATATCCCAATCTTCCCTTAAACGGTCACTGGAGTTGCCAAAATACATATCCCAATCTTCCCTTAAATGGTCACTGGAGTTGCCAGTCTCCCTGTGGGGCCTGGAGATCTCCCAGAAATCACCATGTTCCCCAGCCACAGCACATCATTTCCCCTACAGAAAATTTCCCAGCTATTACAATGGCTGCTTTGGACAGTGGACTCTATGGCATTATACCCTGTTGAAGTCCCTCTGCACCCCAAACCCTGCCCTCCCCAGGCTCTACCCCTCAAATCTACAGGTCTGGCCCTCCCCTAAGTATTGTCAGCCTCCAGGCAGCACCTGGAGATCTCCAAGATCAGTTCTCCTGGAGAGAATGGCTGCTTTGGGCAATGGACTCTATGGCATTATACCCTGCTGAGGTCCCTCCGCACCCCAAACCCTGCCCTCTCCAGGCTCTACCCCTCAAATCTACAGGTATTTCCCAACCCAGAGTTGGCAACCCTGTAACTGGCTATGGAACCGCTTTCCAGACCCTTGGAACCCAGAAGACATGGCATAGGAGGCGGTGCTTTTCTACCTTAGCTGCCACCGCATAACCCCAAATCAACATAAATCAGGGGTGGAGGAAACCATACCTGTTACCATGAGGCTGTCCTCCCATACTATCCACTTAGGGCAGCAAAATGACTTGAGACAGCCCTGCCTTATAGCTAAACAGAAGGAAATAAACATGGCTTGCCTCCCTCTATTTTCCCCTTCCCTCTGCCGCCCCACCAGCCACAGCCGGGACACTCACCTGGAGCTTCCTTCTAGAGCTTTTTGTATTTCTTCCCACAACAGACCTTACTCCTAGTATCATAATAATTAAAAGATGCTTCCAGTTCTCTTCCAAGCAGCTTGGAAATGGGAGGGAATTGGTTCAAAGCAAGAGCTCATCCAGAGGACAACTCTCAGAACAGCCCTGCCGGATCAGACCAGTGGCCCATCTAGTCCAGAATCTTGTTTCACACAGTGGCCAACCAGTTGCCCTTGAAGGCCAACAAACATGACATAGAGGCCAAGGCCTGCCTTTGATGCTGCTTCTTGGCACTGTTATTTTCAGAGGACTATTACCTTCGTATATGGAGGTTCCTCACCCTGGCCAGTAGCCACTGATAGACCTATCCTCCATGAATCTGTCTAACCCCCTTTTAAAGCCATCTGTGCTTGTGGCCATCACTATACCCACCTGCAGCAAATCACACAATTTATTCTAGTATTATGGGAGAGAGATAAAAAGGTTTATTCACTTTCTCCAGCCCATGCATAATTTTATAAACCTCTATCATGTCCCTCCTAAAAAGTCCCATACTCTTTAGCCTTTCCTCATAGGAAAGGTGTTCTAACCCCTTAATCATATTGATTTCTCTCTTTTGTACTTCCTCCAGCTCTGCAGTATCCTGTTTGAGATATGGGAAGCAGAAGTGTACCTACTATTCCAAATGAGGATGCACCATCTTGGCATTACAAGGGCATTACAATACTGGCTGTTCTATTCTTAGTCCATTACCTAATAATTCCTAGCACCAAGTTTGCCTTTTTCACTGCTGCTGCAAGTTGAGTTGAGCTCTCCAGGAGGAGGAGAAGTAGGGAGAAATTGTCAAGGTTGTCCCTTCTGCCTTTTGCATCAGTGTAGCCTCTGCTGCTGTCAGATGCCTTCTTGTGCTGGGGGCAAGGAGACATTAGATCCCACACTAAGTTGTCTATACATTTCACTGTATGTGCCCTTCTCGTAGATAAAAAAGGCAATTGATCTGTCATGCACACTACTATCTACTCCAACCAGAAGAGACTTCCCAAAATATTCTCCTGCTCTTTGGCCTGAGAGCCTTTGAACAGGAGATGCTACAAACAGAACCAAAGACTTTCTGCACCCAGAGCATACGATTTGAGTCATGAACCACCCATGATGTTTTCTAAAACACATATTCTAGCTTTCCCTTAGCTAGGGGGATTTGATGCCACAGCTCCATGAGCAAAGACCAAGTATGTTTATCCCAGTAAGCCACAATGGCTCCCATTCTCCTCCCTTCATAATCTCCCTTCAGATATGATATTCCTGATACAGCTCTAAGTAGAAATCCGTTATCTCTGTGTCTTCTTCCTGCTTCATTTCACCTTTTGTCACGGGCATTTTACAGCCAATGGGAAAGGACTGCCTTGTGTGCTTCTCAGCAGCTGTAGAGGTAGTGGTGATGTTAGCAACAAGCAGAAATCATCAGCGGGAGATCATTCCAAAAACTGAATTGTGCTACACACTGCAGGACAGAGGCCTTTCCCATTAACATGACTGTTCTGTTTTGTTGTAAAGGTGACTCAGCTGCCCACGAGTCTAAAGGTCGGGACGTGGCACCACATCTGCATAACCTGGATCACACGGGATGGCATATGGTCAGCGTATCAAGATGGAGTAGAGCGTGGGGGCAGTGAAAACCTGGCATCCTGGCATACTATCAAACCTCATGGGGTCATCATCCTGGGCCAGGAACAGGTAGGTCTAAGTCCTGGGTTGTCTTGGGAATGGCAAACCTAGACATTGTTTAAGGAATCCACCCAGCCTTTGTGGGGTATTTGTCAATCTCAGTGAAGAAGAATTTCACCACATTGATATGGGGACACTCCCTATTCACATTCTTGACATACCACATGTATTAACTTTGAAACACAAAGCCACACAGAGCTTCTCTCTTGGATCTAATGTAGACATTATGTAGAGATGTGGTCCTCAAAAGACATGCCCCCACATAGAAACTTTCCAAATTCTTGCTGCATTTTAATGCAAAATCTGGACATTCAGAGAGCCAACCCCCCTCCCCCAACCCTGTATCACTCTGGGCTTTGTGTATCCATTGTATCTCAGAACTACCAAAATATTATAGTGACAGAAATCTCTGAGGTTATGGAAATTAACAAAAAGCTGCCATTTGCGCACTGGTGCCTTAATGCAGGAGCGCATATAGCTCAGTGCTAAAACACATGCTTGGCACACAAAAGGTTCAGTCTCTGGCATCTCCAGCTGAAAGATTTGAGGCTGGAAATGCCACTGCCTGAGACCTTGCAGCAGACAATACTGGGCTGGATGAATCAGAGATCTCATTCCTTATACCCTGCAGCATCTTCACTGTTGGTCATATCTCCGCTCCAACCCTGTACTTCATTGGCACTGTGATTATATTTGCCAGGCATGGTATTCCAGTATTTATTTTGTGCAGTAACTAGAGCCTCACTGTCATATGACTCCTTGGTTGCCTCTTCTACCATGTCCAGTTCTGTCCATCTTTGCGACAGCTCCCCCAGTTAGAGTCTGGCATGACCGTTTTTGTCGTGTCTTAAGGAAGCCCTACTGCTCCAGAGTCTGGGAACCAACTGCTATTTTTGTTTATTTCTTTCAAAGTTTTATCTTACCTTTCCACCAGTTAGGTCTTCCAGATTGTCTACAAGAAGTGGATAGCAACAGTGCCTGGGCTATTCCTGCCACATAGCAGCAGTTAGGAAAGAGAACCATAGAGATATAAAGCTACAGCAGCTCCACTTATGAACAACATATTATAGTTCCCAAGCTGGGCAAATGCTGTGTTATTTAGCAACACAGTTTGTTTTTCTGCCTAATCTCAGGACTTCTGCCACTATGATTTGAAACCAGGGAAATACTCCTGTGACTCTGAGTCCCTTTATGTTCCTCCCAGATAGGATACAGTGGGGAATAAGACAATGGCAATCTTCAGTTACTTTATTCTCTCTTGCTTCTCCTCCCCTTCCAATATTTTCCTTCCATGTCTCCTCCTTTTATTCACCCCTTTCGTCTTCATCTCCCCATTTTGCTCAATTTGTCTGCTGTTTTCTTCCTTGAAATTATTCTCCTCTTTCCCTCCATGCTTCCTCCCCCTCCAATGTAATGCCCACAGGATACACTGGGTGGGCGCTTTGACGCAACTCAGGCCTTCGTCGGTGAAATTGCTCAGTTCAACATGTGGGATCACGTCCTGACGCCAGCAGAGATCCTGGGTCTGGCCAACTGCACCAGCCACCTGCAAGGCAATGTCATCCAGTGGGATGAAAACCTGGTCGAGGTCCATGGAGGGGCAAGCAAGAGGAGCTTTGAAGTCTGTGAGGAAAGGAAGAAGGCGTGAGAGGTCCTTGTCCCTACCAAAAGAAAGGAGCATGGAAGCTACTGCCGTTTCTTTCAGCTGACATAAAGAATGAGACAGCAAGGGGTCCTTTTCTTTTTCCATACAGAAACATCTTGGATGCTGAGTTGTTCTGCAGAATGTTGTGTGTGTGTGCGTGAGAGGGAGAGTGTATGCATGTGTGCAAAGAACAAGGGCAGCCTTCTGAACTTAATGGAATTGTGACACTGTGTTTTTCATTGTTCTAGTAAAAGTCTTTCTGATTCGTACCTGTGAATGGCAAGGGCCCTCCACCTAGAAAGCTGGGGTGATAAGAGGGTGATAGCCATATTTGAACAACAGGCCAGTAGCTGAGGTAGAGGATGGGAAGTTGTTGGTGGAACTGCTATCACCAACATTTTGCTTCTTTGACGTTGTGTCTGATACTGTTGGGCACTCAGTGGGGTTTGTTGGAGCTTTAGAACCTGTATGGTGGTGGCATTTGCCCATGAGAAGCCATTGATAGTCTAGGAATACACAAGCCAATATTCCTGTAGTTTCTGCATGCTTCTGCCAGGAATGTCCCGCCAAGTTCTCTACCTTCTGGCCTCCATTGCCTCAAGTAGGCAGTGATGCCAAGTCATTCCACCAAAGCCTATGTACTAGATTCAGATGATCTTTCTTTATCGCAGTGATCCAGCTTTCCACCTCAGATGAGCTGTGTGAATTGTCACATGCTCCTGCAATTCTGTTGATTTTCACAGAGCACAAGATTCCAAATTCCTTTTGTCAGTATTATTTTTAGACAATTCTTGTGGCAGCTTTTAAAGGAGGAGAGCACAAGTGGCAAGCAGAGTAGTCTGACATTTATGTCCAATCCTTTTTCTCCCATAGGTTTTCTTCCCTATCCCTTGCATTCCTCTAAGGGCTGATACACACGTGCATGTTCCTTATCTGATATCTTCTCATGTTGATGACTTGGAGCTGAACCCATGAACTGAGTCTGATGTGACATAATATGAAACCTCTCTCTGTTCCATGATGACCATTTCACACATTTAAGCCACTGTTTGGGATTTCAACCATCCAGTGATGTCTGTGCATATGTAAATCAGCCCGTATTCTACAGAACGTCTGAAATCCAATTCACTTTCTGACTATTGACCCCTAGCAGATTGCTTCCACTACTTAAAATAATGCTGGGAAATACTGGAAGGGATTGCAAATATGTCCTTGACCAGGAAGGAATCAAAAAGGAAGGTACTTGCCTTTTGTACATGTTCCAGGCTCCTTCCAAGTCCCATGGGGACATTATAACTCCTGGGCCTGTACAAGGTACTAGGCTTCCTAGCCCACAGATTTCCAGCTGAGCTCATAGCTGTTCATTACCCCCAGTTAGTCGAGACACACACACACACCTTTGAGGCTTCTTGTTTGGACTTATAAAAATATTAGCCATGGTAATTTTGCTTTGCATTCTTATGTTCGCAATATGCTCTTGGTGCATTAACGAAGTACCATATTTGGAAGTGAATGACAGAAGATGTATGTTACTGACCTGTTGCACAGTTACCACAAATCCTCTTTCCAAAGTAGCAGCAGTAGCTGTTGCTGAGTTTTATTTCATGAGAAGAAGTCTACTGGATCAAACCAAAACTCCTTTCAGTCCAGCATCCCATTTCCCACAAAGACCAGCCAGATGTCCCTGAGAAGCCCACAAGCAGAGCACAAAGTCAAGAGCCCTCAACTGCTCCACTCAGTGGCATACACGCTGCAAAGGTCTGAAGGCCACATGCCATGCTTGCATGCCATGCACAAGGAATCAAGACACATTAAACACGTGTAAAGGCTAGAGAAATGGCATATAGCTTTCCGTTCTGGGCCTAAAGTCACAGAAGAAACAGCCCTTTCACGATTTCTGTCTTGCTGAAATGCCAGACAGAGGCACCCCTTTGAGGACATGTGCTAGCAAATTTATAGGCTACTTGAAACAAGATATACCCATCTGATACTCATGGTAATAGAGAGTTGCAGCAGAGTCCTGCTTTCTCAACAAAGACTTCCCTTAGTTGTAAGCAAAGGTGAGGGAGCTGTTTAGTCACATATTTCTTTGGTAATGTCAGCTTTTAAGTTCCACGCCACCGAACACAATGCTTGGCTATATTATGAGCACTTCACATATTGCGTTTTTAGGTGTACTCCTAAAATGAGTTCAGTGTGCAATGCAAGGCATGAATGTGACCATGTGAATGTTCATTTGAACATGTTTGTATCCTACAGTTATGCTTAGCAGAGAGCGAGGACTGTTTGCATCTCCATATTGAGTGTGCACTTGATGGGAAAACTAAGGTTAGCAGCCTCATAGTGTGGAATGGAGAACAATCCAAGAAATCTGGATTTCTGGTTGAGGTGTAGTCCAATCCTGTGCAGATTTATTTTGAAGTAAATCCCAATGAGTTCAATGGAACTTGCTCACAAGTAAGTTTGCTTAGAACTGCAGCCTGAGTTACTTAGCTCACTCTCTTTTCTCTGTCCCATCTGACAATTAGGCATTTATCAAGTATTTCTCAATTCACTGTGAAAGATGCAGTGATTCTCCCAGTTATCTCTCCCCACTTTAAAAAGGAGTTTAGTTCAATTGCTTCTCAATTCCACCAGCTTTTGTATGGTCTCTCTTCACTACATCTTCTAGTAGAACGGAAGGGAGATCCAGATCTGTTGCATTTTTTACATGTTTGGGCTGAAGATTTCTTCTGTTTTGGATTTTGGCATAAGGCATAAGGCAAGTCTTGTTGCATCCTGAGTCTGTGACTGTGTGCACCTCTTCTGTGGCTCAAAAGACAAGGTAGAGGTAAACTAAGGAGGTTTTCCTATACCCCAGTCTGAACACAGTATGGTTAAGCCATCATCTGAAAACCAGATTGGAGCATTTTAGGATTTTTCTACACAGACACCAGTCAAACTTGTTTAACAATCCGTCTCCCTCTCCCTAGAGAACCCTGGGAATACTGTTTCCTGAGAGGGGCCATGATCTGTAACAGAATTCTCAACACCTCCACCAAACTATAATATTTATCATTATCATTAGCTTCATTTACTATCTGCCCTTTTCACTTTGACTCAAGGTGGGTTACAAATACGGTAAGTATTCAGTCAACCAGCAAGTGAGATACACAGGATTGGGGGGGGGGGGATTGTATTTAACAGCAAAGATTCCTGGTAAAACAGAATAACGGTGCATGGCTGGGAACTTCGGGGGGGGGGGGGGCCCGGTTCCAAAGAGTTGAAAGGAACCAAAAGCAATCTGTTTCAACCACTTGCCACAAAAGAGGACCATTCCCACATGCTCACACCTATACCTTCACATGTTGGTTTGAAAGTGAAAGAGTCCAGGGCAGGCAGAACCAAAAGCAGATCCAAACACAGAGCCCAATATTTTTCTATGGACCTCAGGGCTGAACCTGTTTAGCAGCACCTTGGGTAAAGGACAAAAGTTTTTGATGAGTCTGGAATGGGGCACAGTATATTAGCTATATAATTGCTTACGATGTTCTGCTTAAAGGCTGAGGGGGAGGGAGAAAATGGCTGTACTCCTTGCTGTTCCAGCAGCTGGCCAAACATCTAAAACAAAATAGCCATGGGTCACTTGACAATCCTAGAACTGACCTTTCAGGGAATTCCTTAGTATCGTAGCGGCTTTTTTTGCTACTAGTCATTCTGATTCAGGATTTGTTGGTTGCATGTGCAGTGACCCAGTATACACATTACATGGACCATGTGAACACTAGTTTGCCAGCTAGATGGGGTGAGGGGAGCGCCCCCTCCCTTTAATAGAGGTTTAATGTGTGGAAATCGGCAGTTAAAGCTTTTCACGCATGAAATTAAATAACCTCTCCTGATGTTTGCTTGCCGATCAAACTGTTATTAAAGGACAGCAAGACGAACCGATTTAAAAGCTGGCACCTCTATGTAAACATGATTGCATGGATGACTGGGGCATTGAAAGTAAAATACCATATGTGTGAGCCGGCCAGCCCTTAATCGGCCAAATTCTGTGATTAGATGCCATGGCTGTGAAGTAACATAGCTGTGCCCTTCCCCTGCCTACTGTTAAAGGGACATGGATTCCAACCAATGGATTCCAACAGCCATTCTCTGACATGCTTTTTAAATATGTCCTTTCCCCTCCCCCTTTCCCCAGCCCTGGCTTGTTCCATGCCATTACTAGGGGAGGGGGAAGGATTTATGGTAGTATCTTCAGCTACTTCTGTAGTAAAGAAAAACAAAAGGAGGGAAGGAGCCTTGATAACCTATTAAACCTGTTCAGGATTTGGGAGGCCGGGGAGGTTTGTAAGCCTTTTGAGTGCCTGATATCACAATGGTTTTGAAACCTATGAATCCACGGATAACTACATATATGTCAGATATTATTCTCTGGGGGATTTTGTGATTGCTTGTGTCATATTTTGCTTCTTTCCCCATCTGAAATGTCCCAATTGACATGACTGCTGATACAATAAACTTTTTGTTCTCTCTCTCTCTGAACAAACCAGGTGAGGGAAGGCAGAGTAGAGAAAGTTACTTCAGCTCACACTAGTGACAATTTTGGGATCTTCCTCTAAGGATTATTTTAGAGGCTGAACTTTTAAGGGGTGCATGTTACAGGAACCATGTGAGGTGGGCACAAGCATTTCACTATGCGTTTAACACAAAAGGATACTGCAGGGAACTGCAGATCGGAAGGCTGGTAGTTCAGCAGTTTGAGACCCGAGTGCCACATGAGCGAGTGAGCTCCCGTCTCTGGTCCCAGCTCCTGCCGACCTAGCAGTTCGAAAGCAAGAAATTGCAAGTAGATAAATAGGTACCACTTCAGTGGGAAGGTAACAGCGTTCCGTGCGCCTCGGTGTCTAGTCATGCCGGCCACATGACCACAGAAACATCTTTGGACAGCGCTGGCTCTTCAGCCTGGAAACGGAGATGAGCACCACATCCCTAGAGTCGGATTTGACTGGCTTTCAAGCAAG